AAAAATACTACTCAGCTTGGGTAGAGACTAAGTTATATTCTGCTGTTGCTGTTTTATATTTTTGTAGACATACTGTTGATGAAATAAAAATAGAATAGAAGTGGAATAGAATAGTGTGAGTAAATGTACTGGTAGATGCAGGATGGGAATTTGTTACTGCAACCAGCAAACCTGACAAAATGTAAATAAAGGTGGGCTACTGTAAATTTTAAGTATTTAAACTACTGTCACACTCCACTGACAAACAGATGGCTAGGAAGCTTGTGTATGTGTCTGCTCTTCAGAAGTGTGAGCTCAGCAGGTTACTCTCCGTCTGGCGGCCGGCACCCGAGGGTTTAACAAATAGGATCTGGCCCAGTGGTGCTGCTTATTAGAAACATTTGTACAGGACCTCACCTGTGTGTGTATCGTTTAACATTTTGAATTTGATCTCGGGAGCTCGCCTTTGCTAGACTTGCAGTCAGCATTTCTCACATGGAGACATACATCTCAAATAGGTGAGCAGCTAATGTTCCCTTAATACTTGCGATTGCTTCACTCCTCACAGTGATAAGTAACTACTCGCCAGACCATAATTTCATGATTTTGGGATGAATGTTGAGTATGCCTTCAGGAGAGACAGGCGCAGGAGAGTTTGAATGTAAATGGGGAAGATAGTTTGCCTGAATAATCCTGAACGGCTGAGGAAGTAAGCGTGAAAGGTAAATTGTAGAAACTGGCTTACATGAATAAAACATGTTTCTTCTCTACAAAAACTACTTCACCTGTTAAAAAAATAAACTATTTTTCTTGCAAACATACATTCCACACATACATGCTCTATATTCTGTGCAATCTTCAATGATTTTTAATTAATTTACAAATTAAAAAAAATTGCACCTGATTTTACCACCAACACCCAACCCTTGTGCTGCCATAACTATTTGTGCCATCAGAACAATTTTAAGTGTTCCCAAAAGTACATAAACTACACATGGTAAGGGTTATATCATGTGTAATAACACATGATATAGGCTGCATCTGCAAAGATTGTAAATCAACATTCAGCCGTGTGCGTGGGGCCTTTATCATGTCACAAATACATATGTAGTAACTTAAAATTAGAGATCCTTTTTCAATTCATGGATCCGAGAATTGCTCTTCAGACACAAATCATTCCAAATCTCTTTTTTTCACAAATAGGCAGTTGTTTCAATAGACTATGTGCATGTTAGCATATGCTACTTCCGGTGCGGAAACTCCAGCTTTGTTTCCGGTGTCCTATTCGCGCCTTGTTTATGGTCCAAAACAAGTTAAGCAAATTAATGAATCAAGCGGCGATTTACATTTCTATAGATGTTTTGGGCATTTACCCAATATATCTGTAAATGATGTTCATCACCTTGTCGATATTTTTCCCCCACACCTCAGAGCAAAAGAGAAAAGGGATTCAAATGTTATATTTCTCAGCTGTCCCTTGTTTATCGCGGGTGTTATGTTCTAAAAATAACCAGCGATAGGTGAAATCAAGTAGCCAATTTTATTCTTTGACGGTGCAAAACGTTTCGTCGACATCGTGGATATACAGTACTGCACTTCAGAGTCACACTGCTAGCGATCGATGCAGCATTCTGTACTGTACAGGAGAGACGTCACGGAGGAGATCGTCTGCAGCGATCAGGACGCAGGACACAATGTGATGTAAAAAACAAACAAACATGCAAACTTGCACTAAAACATCCGCGAAACAGCAAGGTGAAATGTGAACCGTGAGGGACCACTGTAATTTTTAAGGTAAGTCACAACATACCCTTTGTAAATACTAATGTAAATACTAATGTATAGAAACATTAGTATTTAC